GCACCACGCGCTGTAGCAGAGTAGTTTGGGTCGTCATTGGAGACGAAGGCGGTGGACGCAAGCTCGCTCATCGGAATGATTTGTATTCGCGGGGGGACAGAATGGCACTACTGGGGACTGCGCCGACCAGTACGATGACCCGTATCTCTGTAATCCACGATCCTTACATAGATATCAACTTAGATGATGACGACGAGATGCTAGAGTACGCACCGAATGATCCAAACGCTATTCCCACCGATGAGTCTGTGGTACCATTTTGGAGCGAGGGCTTCTGGCGACGAGTGCTACGAGCGCTTTAGCCGTTGGTAAATGTTGAGCTGCTACAATGGGCACGTACGTGAACGCGTGAACGTCCACGCGAGAGCCTCGAGTATGATGACCGTGAGGATCAAGCCTGATCAAGCGCGTCAACCACCTCCGACGCCCGTCACGAGGCGGCGGCCACCAACAGTGTCACTACTCGATATAGACAGGCATGAACACCCATTATCTCAAGTACCCCATCTCTGAGCTCCTATCGCGTTTACGCAACGTTCTTGGGTATCAGAATACTGCGTCGTCAGGGGAGAACTACTCGGAGGAAGAGGCCGGTCCTGGCGCGTTGTTTACAATGGTAGCCAGTGCAGAAATGATCTGATGTTTACTGAGGTAGAAACCGTCTGGGCAGTGAACCACTATGTTTCCACCCTTTGCGAGATGGGGCCGGTCCCCATGGATGAGGATGAGATCTCGGTGTGGCACATCGGAGGAAAAATCGGAGAGTAAGTCCCTATGGACTTTCTAACCCTCTCCTTGTGCTGACTTAACTACTGCAGGAATCTCGCATCTCGCATTGCGCGTATAGCTGCTATGGGTTCGAGCAACTCATATGGGGCCACTGCACCTGTCGCAGAGGAACAGGATGTTGCGAGGGTGAAGACGCATGTCCCTTAATGTGAGGTGGTCGATTCGATGCCGCCTACTCGAGAATTGCAGGTGTATATGCAACTTATCCTCATGTCGTATCAGGTGCTTGTTTATTCGATGTTCCTATTCCGCTCATGGAGTATCTATCGTGGGTCAACTGCTACTGCTACGACTACTCCCAATCATGCTTATTTCAGAGTGTTGTGGGGCTCGGCAGGGACTGACAAACTTCGCAACAAGGGGCCCTCGGCGCGGCCACGTCGCCCTCGAGTGTATTGTATACCGACTGTGCCCCAGCTGCGAAATTTAGATGCATACCTCCTAATGTGCTCTGTTCTCTCTGTTTTTGACACAGAGCTTTGTTTTCAACCTCAGAAGTGCGCTTTCGGCTTCCTCTCACATATTACTCTCGGCTCATGGCTAGTTACTAACGCTTGCATCTCATTGATTTCCTTCATCTATCATACTGACGAATTGTGCTTCACATTCATGTGAGCGACCCGACTTCAGTCGATGTCTGCCGTACAACACTCAAGCAGCGCAGGCGATGGACAGCATCGCCCTCTACTCAATCCTCTTGGCCACGGGTCACGCCGTCGCGCGCGGTACGGCGTTTGCACGGGTGCCAAGTGGCCTCAAACTATCCGTCGTCGCCGCGCGCGGGTGAGTGACGGCGATGCTGCGTGATGGCCAGCATCAATCTACTCGCTGTCTAGACGCTCCACGAGGGCTGCTTACGCGCTTACCCTGTGTAGCTATCCGCGATACGTCGTATGGTGGTCCAAACGCGTCAGATCGGGTTAGATTTACCACTGAATGACGAGAAGTCGCGGCGGGCACCTTCCCCGAGTCTCCCCCGCTTCCTCCCGCATGTCCCGCCCATCCCTTTGGCCCTACCGCGTACTGTACGTGTCAGGCTGCCGAACGGAGCCCGTCAGGGCGCAGAAGGGAGGGGGAGGAGGGCCAAGGGGCGGCGGCCAACGCCGCGTGTTCGGCTGACGCGGCCTGTCTCCCGCGTGTGTCGCGAAGGGTGTTGCGCCTGCCCGTCCTCGTTGGCCCGCTTGTATCTCTTACTGGATAGCTTTAGAATCATATGGCCTCTATGAGCTTTATACACGCTCTTAGGAATCATCCAGTGAGAATTGAAAGCCATTTGTAGGCAAGTTGGAGGCTTCAAAATGGGATAAACAGAAATTTGAGATGATGTCTCAGTAGCTAGATACGACAAATTGGAATCTCGCATAGCTACAGGTACTACTAGTGGACTTCGGAGGCAGAGACTCGGAAGCACGAGTGGAGAACGAGCGGGCGCAACGCCCTTCGCGACACACGCGGCAAAACACGTGGCCGCGTCAGCCAGCACGCGGCGTTGGCCGCCGCCCCTTGGCCCTCCTCCCCCTCCCTTCTGCGCCCTGACGGGCTCCGTTCGGCAGCCTGACACGTACAGTACGCGGTAG